AAGAATTGGATCCTGACTGGCTCAAGGTTGACTCAGCCTTCCATCCTTCCTAGGTCAATAAAATGAGGACCCAAATTGTTGTGGGGCAAATAGGCTGACTCTGTAAACTGCTTAGAGAGGGCTGTAACGCACTGTGAAACAGTATATAAGTCTAAGTGTTATTGCTATTGTTGTTGGTGCTGTCTGAGCTTGTTGGTTTTCTTGCAGATGTTTCATTACCTAACTAGGTAACATAATTAGTGCTAGAAGGGAATGGGCTAGGGCAGGGGTAGGCAACCTTGGCTCTTTTATGACTCGTGGACTTCAACTCCCAGAATTCCTGAGCCAGCATGGCTCAGCATGGAAACCTCTCCCTTTCTCCTCAGCATGTGCCATTCAAAGTTATAGTAGCACTGAAAAAAGTGACTTTATGACCATTTTTCACACTTGCCATCATTTCAGCCTCCCCTTCGGCAGTTTCCAAGCATCTGAATTTTGATCATGAGCTGATTTATCACCAGCTTACAGGTAGTCCTCGACCTACGGCCACAACTGGCCCCAGAATTTATGTTGCTAAGTGAGAAATTTGTTAAGTGAGTTTTGCCCCCTTTTATGCATCCAGTTTTGGTCACCACGATGTAAAAAAGATGTTGAGACTCTAGAAAGAGTACAGAGAAGAGCAACAAAGATGATTAGGGGACTGGAGGCTAAAACATACAAGGAACGGTTGCTGGAATTGGGTATGTCTAGTTTAATAAAGAGAAGGACGAGGGGGGACATGATAGCAGTGTTCCAGTATCTCAGGGGGTGCCCCAAAGAAGAGGGAGTCAAGCTATTCTCCAAAACGCCTGAAGGCAGGACGAGAAGCAACGGATGGAAACTCATCAAGGAGAGAAGCAACCTAGAACTAAGGAGAAACTTCCTGACAGTTAGAACAATTAACTAGTGGAACAACCTGCCTCCAGAAACTGTGAATGCTCCAACACTGGAAGTTTTTAAGAAGAGACTGGATAGCCATTTGTCTAAAATGATGTAGGGTTTCCTGCCTGAGCAGGGGGTTGACTAGATGACCTCCAAGGTCCCTTCCAACTTTATTATTATTATTGTTGTTGTTATTGTTGTTGTTATATCTCTGGTCCCAGTGACCAACCTAGATTGGATCTTGAATCTTCCCCTCAACTTTGCCTGGACATACATCCAAAATTGAGTAAGCCAAGAAATCAGCTAAGGGCTGATGCAGGCTCTGGAAACGCTTGAAAATGACCAGTTTGGAGGTACAAAATCAATTTAGTGGTTCATTGGTAATATCCCCTGCATTTCAAGACCCTCCAGTAGATGGGTGGGCAACATTTAATGGATGCCAGGTAGTAAGTGAAAATAAGATTGGACCGTGCTTATATAGAGTAGAGCTGGAAGGGATCTTGGAGGTCTTCTAGTCCAGCCCCCCCGCTTAAGCAGAGAACCTACACCATCTCAGACAAGTGATTGTCTAGCCTCTTCTTAAAAATCTCCAGTGATGGGGCGCCCACGATTTCTGGTGGCCAGGTGTTCCACTGGTTGATTGTCCTCACTGTCAGGACGTTTCTGCTTAATTCCAGGTTGCTTCTCTCCTTGATCAGTTTCCAACTGTTGTTTCTCGTACTTTCCTCTGGTGCTTTGGTGAATTTCAGAATTTGAATTTGTAATTAATAATAATAATAATAATAAAGTTGGAAGGGACCTTGGAGGTCATCTAGTCCAACCCCCTGCTCAGGCAGGAAACCCTATACCATTTCGCACAAATGGCTGTCCAATCTCTTCTTAAAAACTTCCAGTGTTGGAGCATTCACCGCTTCTGGAGGCAGGTTGTTCCACTGGTTAATTGTTCTCACTGTCAGTAAGTTTCTCCTTAGTTCTAGGTTGCTTCTCTCCTTGGTTAGTTTCCACCCGTTGCTTCTTGTCCTGCCTTCGGGTGCTTTGGAGAATAGCTTGACTCCCTCTTCTTTGGGGCAGCCCCTGAGATACTGGAAGACTGCTATCACGTCTCCCCGTTTCTTCTTTTCTCCTTATGCTATGTTGCAACACGTCATTTACATATTGATGGAGCAATATGAAAAAAAAAAGTCACACTGCCAAGAACTGCATTTGCTCACGATAAAATCAAGATCCCTTGTTTTTCTTCCTTTCTTGTGAATAAACGGCATATTGGCTCACGCAGGCTATTTATTCCTTCCAATGAAAAATGATTGTGGCATCTCAGCTCGTGTTCCATGGAAGCCCTGATCGAAAAAGAACAGCAAGCTGTCTTTTTTTGGAAACCCGCACTAAGGATCTCAAAATCTTCCATCTGAAACTTTTAATTTAGTCAGCCCAGTCAGGAAGTGGACTTAAGACAGTGCTTTTTGCTCAGATGTGTGTCTGGTAAATGTGGGTTGGATCCAGCTTTTATGGTAACAGAAATAGATTATATTGATATATGTAGTCATTCTGACTATTGCCATGATGGTTAGAATGCAGTATTGCAGGCTGACTCTGCCAACCGGCAGCAGTTCGATCCTGACCGGCTCAAGGTCGACTCAGACTTCCATCTTCCGAGGTCGGTAAAATGAGGACCCAGATTGTTGGGGGGCAAGTGCTGACTCTGTAAACTGCTCAGAGAGGGCAGTAAAGCACTGTGGAGCAGTATATAAGTCTAAATGCTATTGCTATTGCTATGTCTATAAATTTATAAATATATTAAATCTATGGGATTTAAGCATCCAATCCACTGCGTATGTAGAGCTTATCAGAAATTAGCAATCATGCTCCCACTTGTTTTATGTACTATGTATAAGAGCCAGTTTGGTCTAGTGGTTAGGACACCAGGCTACAAAGTGGGAGACCATGAGTCCTAGTTCTGCCTTAGGCATGAAAGTTGGCTGGGTGACCTTTGGCCAATCACCAGGAGATGGTGAGTTCTAGTTCCGCCTAAGGCATGAAAGCCGGCTGGGTGACCTTTAGCCAGTCATCAGGAGACAGTGAGTTCTAGTTCTGCCTTAGGTATGAAAGCCGGCTGGGTGACCTTTGGCCAGTCACCAGGAGACAGTGAGTTCTAGTTCTGCCAAAGGCATGAAAGCCAGCTGGGTGACCTTTGGCCAGTCACCAGGAGACGGTGAGTTCTAGTTCCGCCAAAGGCGTGAAAACCGACTGGGTGATCTTGGACCAATCACTTTCAGCCCAGCCCACTGACAGGATTATTCTTGTGGGGAAAATAGGAGGGTTTAGTTTGTCTGAGTTGGGGGTTCCTTGATTGGGATATTGTTTACTTCTTGATTGTTGGTCTAGTGTTAATCTTGGTATTTAATCTCTGCTTATCCGAGTGCTGATTGCTGCTGTGAAGTTGTGATCTTTTTCTTTCCTTTTTAGCCTTTTTGATTGTCTGCTTTTGAGCGATGTGTAAATGTTGTTTATCTCCATGTGCCTGTCGATGACCAATTTGTCTGAGTGCCAGGTATTTGTCTGAGTGCCAGGTATCTTAGATATTTTTAAATTTAGCTTGATCTAGGACGCTCACAGTTTCCTAGCTGAAACTATGGTTGTGTCTGTAAATATGTTGTGAAATTAAAGCTTTCACCATGTCTTCTGACAGCTAGTTGGTGTTCATGGTTGCCCTCTGCTAAGTCTTCTGCCTGTTTTTTCTACATAGTGGCAGTCCTTACGGTGTGTGTTGTAGATCAGGGCTCCCCAACTCCCAGGTCACGAACCAGTCCGAAACCACACGCACACACCCCTCCGGTCCATAAAAAAACCCGCTCATCATGTAACTGATCCTTGGCACTCAAAAGATAGGGGGCCACTATGGTAGATAAACCCTGGTTTGTTTGTTTGTTTCTCCTCTGGGTCTTTCAGTTTACTTTGAACGTTTTTGGAGGGCTTTAGTTGATTTGTGTGCTACAGTGAATTATTACAACGAATACAGGGATTATTAGAGGTAGTCCTTGACTTACGAACACAACTGAGCCGAAAATTTCTGTTTCTAAGGGAGAAAGTTGTTAAGTGAGCTTTGCCCCCACTTTATGACTTTTCTTGCAATAGTTGTTAATCACTGTTAGTATGTTAAACGAATCTGGCTTCTCCATTGACTTTGTTTGTCAGAAGAGTACAGAGAAGAGCAACAAAGATGATTAGGGGACTGGAGGCTAAAACATATAAGGAACGGTTGCTGGAATTGGGTCTGTCTAGTTTAATGAAGAGAAGGACGAGGGGGGACATGATAGCTGTGTTCCAGTATCTCAGGGGCTGCCACAAAGAAGAGGGAGTCAAGCTATTCTCCAAAGCACCTAAAGGCAGGACAAGAAGTAATGGATGGAAACTAATCAAGGAGAGAAGCAACCTGGAACTAAGTAAGAGCAATTAATCAGCGGAACAACCTGCTGTGAATGCTCCAACACTGGAAGTTTTTAAGAAGAGATTGGACAGCCATTTGTCTGAAATGTTTTAGGTCAGGGGTAGGCAACCTTGGCTCTTTTATGACTCGTGGACTTCAACTCCCAGAATTCCTGAGTCAGCATGGAAAACTCTCCATTTCTCCTCAGCATGGCTGGCTCAGGAATTCTGGGAGTTGAAGTCCACGAGTCATAAAAGAGCCAAGGTTGCCTACCCCTGGTATAGGGTTTCCTGTCTGAACAGGGGATTGGACTAGATGACCTCCAAGGTCCCTTCCAACAACAACAACAACAACAACAACATCATCATCATCATCATCATCATCATCATCATCATCATCATTATTATTATTATTATTATTATTATTATTATTATTATTATTATTTATGGTGGCAAAAAGGTGATCACCTAACCTCAAGACACGGCAACAGTTGTAAATATGAACGTCTGAATTTTGATCACATGACCACAGGGACATAGGTCACTTTTTTCAGTGCCGCCGTAAGTTTGAATATTCCCTAAATGAAATGGCTGTATGTGGGAGAACTGCCTGTATCCATTTTTTTTGCTTGCTCGGTTTATAATTCTCCCGTTTTCTTTTTGGATCTCCTGTGGAGATGTTAGATAAATTGAAGGACCGCTGGCTGCACACCAGTTTGTGGGAGAAGCTGGAGCTGATCAAAACAGTCCTTGTGGAACCCAAAGGAGGCGACAAATCTGATTTTGATGAGCTGCTTCAAATATACTCCGATGCCATCAAGTCTCAGAATGGCAGAGGTAAGTAAAAATGCAGAAAGGTGGGAAAAAAACCTAGCTGGAACCTAGGTTTGACTGGAACAAGTTTCCACCATATTACAGATAGTCCTCACCTTACGACCACAATTGGAACCGGAAGTTCCGTTGCTAAGCGAGAAGGTTGTAAAGTGAGTGGTGTTTGATTTTACAGCTTCTTTGTCAGGGTTGTTGTTGAGTGGGTCACCGCTGTCATAAAATAAATGACGTGGTTGTTACGCTTCCCTCTTTTATTTTGTTGTCAGAAGGCCGGTGGGAAAGTCGCAAAAGGGGATCACATGACCCTGGGACAGTGCAACCGTCATCAATACCCTGTTTCCCTGAAAATAAGGCCTACTACCTCGAAAATAAACCCTAGGTTGATTTTTGGGGGTGGGCCTAATATAAGCCCCCAAAATAAGCCCTGGTTTGGGGGCAAGGCACACACCTAAAAATCAAGTTAGGGCAGGGGTGGGGGGTGGAGCTACCCCACACGCCCTGCACCCACTTACCTGGCAGGCAGGTCTTGCCTCACCGGCCCACTTCTACTGCAGCCAGGTCTGCATTTCTCAGTCACAGGCCTTTCCAGAAGGCCATTGCAGCCGAGAATCGAGTTATGGATTGAATCCATAGCTTGATACTCGGCTGCAAAGGCCTTCTGGAAAGGCCTGACTGCAAAACACAGGCCCGAATGCAGCTGCAGAACTTCGGCCCCAGAAGAAGTGGACCGGCTGGGTGGCGCTGTCGGTGCCGTACGTGAGGTAAGGCCTATCCCGAAAATAAGACCTAGTTTTGGGGTGAGGCACACACCTAAAAATCAAGCTAGGGCAGGGGTGAGGGGGTGGAGCTGCTCCACACGCCCTGCCCCTACTTACCTGGCAGCCAGGCCTCTCCTCGCCGGCCCACTTCTTCTGAGGCCTCTTCTACAGCCAGGCCTGCATTTCTCAGTCACGGGCCTTTCCAGAAGGCCACTGCAGCCGAGAATCGAGTTATGGATTGAATCCACAGCTCGGTACTCGGCTGCAGAGGCCTTCCGGAAAAGCCTGACTACAAAATGCAGGCCCGAATGCAGCTGCAGAATGAAGCTGCTCCTTCGGCTGCAGAAGAAGTGGGCCGGCTGGGCTGGGCTGTCGGTGCCGAGGTGAGTATAAAACACACCCCCCCAAAATAAGACCTGGTGCCTTTTTTTGAGGCAAAAAATAAAATAAGATCCGGTCTTATTTTCAGGGCAACACGGTACATGCCAGTTGCCGAGCATCTGAATTTTGATCATGTGACCACGGAGATGCTGCCACGGTCCTAGGTCACCCTTTTCACCGTCGGTGTAACTTCAAATGGTCCCTAAATGAATGGTTGTACATCAAGGGCTACCTGTATGATGTTAGATGGCTGTGTTCTTTTGCTTCAGACGGAGCGCTGCTTATAGCTGTGTGCAGAGGCAAAGTCAGCGAAGGGCTGGATTTCTCCGATGACAACGCCCGGGCGGTTCTCACCATTGGCATTCCATTTCCAAACTTGAAAGATCTTCAGGTAGGAGATGCTTAAAATCACTTGTGGAGTATTTTATTGAGGGAGTGAAGTCCTGAATGAATAAATTGTCAAATGTCCGCAGTGTGGTGTTATTTTGCTTTATATATATATATATATATATATATATATATATATATATATATATATATATATATATAT